AATGTAAATATCTATTTTCCATTTGTCCATTTATACTATTTTAAAATTGTTAAATTATATAATTATATTTAAACTACATACTTTCCTTTTCTTATTTCTTAATCTGTACTTTTTCATGCTTGTCGTTTACACGAAATCATTTTAGTTAAAAGATATCACCGTAACCATTATAAATATTAATATAAATTTTATGAAATTATTGAGTATGGTCACATTGTAGCATCTTGTAGCATATGGGGATCATGGAAATGGTCACATTGTTCGTGGTGATTGTTCGAGGGACAAGTCAAAATCCAACTTCAAATTTTGTGATTATTACAAAAAAAAAAGCACTTGTTAAACAATTGTTATAAGTTGCAGAGTAAATTAAAGTCAACTGCAAATCAACAATCAGAGATTTCAAGAGAAGCGAGTATTGCAGAAAATCCTAGTAATGATGGAGAGCTTCTATTTATGTCTGACTATAACTCCAAACTCGATGAGGCTTGAATTTTTTATACAGCTTGCACTTTTCATATATCATCCAATCGGGATTTGTTTTCAACATATGAAGAAGTTTCAAAAGGTTTTGTGATGACCGGTAATAACACACTTTATCAATAGTTGGTATTGGGCAGGTCAGAATAAAGATATTTGATGGAACAGTTAGAACACTTGATACAATGAGATACGCTCTAGATTTGAAAAGAAATCTCATTTCTTCAAGTACTCTTGATTCAAAAGGGTACATGTACACTGTTGAAGATAGAGTCCTGAAAGTTATCGAAGGAGCCCATATTGTGTTGATGAGACATAGAAAATTCCATTTATATATCTTGCAAGGTGATACAAAATCTCTGAGTAATCGGCACATTTTAAGTACTCAGATGGATTTAGAGTTGACTTCTGTATCATTGAAGTTTAATTGGGGTCTTCTTTTAATAATACATCTCAATTGAATTTTGAAGATATGAGTAAATTAATCTTGCCACTATTATCGACGGTGTCATCCAATTAAATTACAGTTTTGAGTTAACAAATATCTTTATATTTCGAGTTAACAGTATCAAAGAGGTCTTTCAAAGAAATCTTGGGCAAAAGCTTAGATGTCCATTTAAAATAATAAAATAAAATAAAAAAAGGAAAGAAAGTCGGTGCGGTCTATTTATATTATTATGTTATTAAAAATGCAAATTTAAATGTTGTACAAGTTGAAAAACTGGACTCAATATTCTCAATTATTGACTTCTTCTAGTTTATTGTAAATTATTCGTTGTTATGCCGTTGGTACAACCTAATCAAGGAGTTGATGACAATTTACACGGTTATTAGGAACCAGCAATAATTGATAAAATACTTACTCAAGACTAGATAGATAAGTAAAATCATGTGCGACGAGTTTAATACACAATATTAGATAGCCTTTTTCAAACTTCGTAATTGAGAGGAAATGTGCATTTAGGGTCCGTTTGATTGGAAGAATGAAATTTGGGTGGAAAAATACGATTTCTAGGAAATTGAATTGCCTAGAACTTGTTTTATAGGGAATTGTTCATTAAATGTGTCTGATTGATATAATTTTTCACCTGGAAAATGTTGAAATTTTGAATTTTTCGATGTTCGTTTAACTTTGTTTTTCATGAAAATTGTTAATTAAAGGGATCAAATTTGCTACAATTGTGAATATAATTTGTTGCCATTGCCAAAAAATAAAAAAATTAAAAGAAATTTTTAATAAAAAAATGAAGAAGTTGGAAGACTTAATTCTCACCAAAACCCAAGGAAATTGAATTCCTTGAAAACATAAAAAATGGCATCACGTGATGGATAGTTGGAAAACAAATTCCATGGAAATTTTTAGCAATCAAACAACACATTTGTGTGGAAAATGGAAAAAATTTTCATGAAAAATGTGTTGTATCCAATAGGCCATTAATGTAAAGAAAAATTTTGAATTAGTAAGTTTTCCTGATTACTTTTAAAATTGGTGAGAAACAATGATTTGAAGAAGCAATATCCTCTAAACAAAATTTGTAAAACAAACGTTATTCGAAATAATTTCCAAAAAAAAATTCATGGTCTCAGGAATAAAAAATAAATTAATTCATTAAATTAAGAAATTAATCTACTTGTTGCATTCAATGTATAATAAACAAAGTATTACTGGCATGTGTGGTTAGATGAATATGATGACATTCTAAAGAAGAAAAAGAAACTAAAATATCATTGACATAGTCTAATCAATATTGCATACCAATTATATGCTAATTATTTTTTCGGTATTTGAGGGTTTCAAGAGAAATTTCAAATGTCTCATGTGAAAGAATAAGAAACAAATAAAAAGAAAGGTAACCAAGAAACATACTTTTTTATAGTGCTTATGTAATAATAAATCTTCTATATCGTATTACATTTCAATAATACTCAACTTAACTTATAAGGTTTATACACACACAAATTATAAATTCTCAACTCTCCACACATGCAACACATAATTGAATTGACAACTAGCATGTTGGTCCCGCTTAAAATCGACATTTCAATTTTTAGACAGTACGTGTCAAATAAACACTTAAAAAAAATTACTTTTAAGTAGGGTATCGAGAATGTCGATATGCGCAAGGACTTCCAAACGTGTACTTGAAATTGTGATAGTGATGTGTAGAGAAAAAAGTATAACCACATGCATAAAGTGAATCACATGTAATTTGCTTGAGCTCTATTAGGCATACTAACTACCATACCAATCTCTATAGCCCATTTCACAAGGAAACACTTTATACATATACACCGCTCTTCTTGAATGTAACATGATACCCTACTTTTTTAACATGAAAAATCATAATATGAATTACACTTGTGCCTATGATTGTAAGATTATATATCATTGAGGTGGGATCAACCATTCATAGTTTATTCAATCAATAATGTTCTACAATCATGATGCTAGTGAAACGTGTTGGGAAAATGGTGTTATGGAATTGCAAGTGGACAATTTTACCAATATTTGAGTGAGGACCTAATTTATTAATTTTGGTTTTTGACAGGTCGAACGTGTTTCTTCCATGAGAACATGTTTGTGGTATATTTAATTGTTCAAAATTATGATTGAATGAATGAGAAATTAAGATTGTAAATCAGTAAAAATTAAATAGAATAGATTTGCAAAGTTGAAGCGAAAATTGGAACGGATTGGAAAAGGTTCCGGCCCCACACTACAAGGTTGAAGTGCATGTGGTCACTTAATATAATTTGCAATTTTTCTGCTTGTACAGAAGCAGAAGTGCTAGAATTTCACCAGATGCTGATGTGGCAACATCTGGTTGATCTTTTTTTTTTTTTGGTCATTTTTAACTGGATGTTGCCATGTGTATTCTTTGAAATTTTTGATGAATAATTTTTGTACACAGCACTTTTGTATAAAATTTGGTATGAGCTCCACGATGACCTATGTATCGTGTGTTTAAACAAAAGTCATCAATTAGAAATATTAATTTTATTAGAAGAAAGCATTGTCATAACTTTAGTGATCAAGTGTGAAAGAAATAAAGATGAGTGGCTGAAATGAAATCCAACTAAAAGTCACACAACTTTTTTTTAAGTAGAGCTCTCAATGAATTGGATTTTGATCCAAATCCGATGAAATTAATGAGAAATAGATTTAGGGCTCTAGTCCAATAACATGATCAAAATCCGAATTCGATCATTCGTTAACTAAATGAAGTAAATAAGGATGTACGTCAATCCGATTTGTTATTATAATATAATATATTTTATATATTATCGCATAGTTTATTACATATAATTTTTTTCATATTAAAACTTGTATTATACTTTACACATAATTTTAAATAAATAATATTAGGTAATAGTATAATATTGTTATTTGAAATATTTGGAGAGTTTTAGATTTTTTTTATTAATTAAAATACGATAAAATCAATTCATTTATTTTATAAATTAAACCACCAAAGTGGCCAACGGTTACAGTTGTTTTCATCGTTCTCAACTTCTTACTTTCCACATCGGATATTTACTATAACATTACATGATTTGCAATCTATGAATAGTTGGATAAAAAATTGGGTAAAAAACTATCAGAGCATTTTAATTCTAGGGTTAAGAAGTTGATTAATATAAAATTTTTAACTTCCTAATTTCTTCAATTTCGGATCGAATTATTGGTTCTCATTATCAAATCGGATATTCGATAACATAGCAAATTAGATATGGATTTAACAATTAAATTTCCTTTGAATTATCAGACAGGATCAAATTGAATAATTATTCTTATTGAATCATATCGGATATGGACAGATTCAATCCATATCCGATTCATTTACAGCCATACTTTTAAGTCATTAATAATAAGGAATGAGGGTAAACCTCCAATACTTTGCAATCGGTGACTTTCTGTTTAAATAAAAGTCATTAACATATGTCGAAACCAACTGAAGCTTCATAATTTAGAAATCATAAGCAATATTTTGTGAGCTTAAGATAAAAATGCATGGACAAGTTTTTATCCATAAGTGGTCTATGACTAATGGATTTTGGCTTGAATATTCTTGAACATTTTTAGCCCGGAACAATCCTTCCAAATAATTGCGAAGATCGCAATCTGATCTTCCAAATTATAAGATTAGATAAGATAATCTTACAATCGTCAATTTTTTGTCTTATTTTTCAGTTGGGATCTTTTTTACTTGTTTAAACTTATCTCTAACTGAAAAGCTAAACACATTTGACCTCAAACACATCACTGTAAGAAATTTGTACCCTTTTTGAGTTATTTTTAACATGGTTCATATACAATCGATACATTTTACTTCTTGTTAATTATTTAGATAATCACAATGAAGTCTCACTTTGTGAAAATTTTCTATTATCTAATATTCTAATGAAGTATCCAATCCAGCATACCAAATATACTCGAAAGATTTAACATATAAATTAGACGCAAAACACGCGTACCACAGAGGCAATGAATGGAGGAAAAAAAGGGTTTATAAGAGCAAAAATGAAAAACAAAACATCCAATCAGATTAAAACTATTTCTCTAACTTTGAGATCATACCAAACAAAAGGGAGGATCTGCATCAACATAAATGCATGAGAAGATACAACATTGTTTTCAACAAAATTTCCTGAGAAATGACAAAATGGATCATTGCAAAATACATGTGTTTGGATTCTTATCCATTGACTTCAAAATGGCCACAGTAGAGAAATTACAAAGCAAAAGGCGATGGTCAATTGCCAACTCGTATTGTTTCACTTCTTCATCTGGTTGTTGAACATTGTGAATGCCCCATGAAACCCACAATACATGATTGCAGTTAGTACAGTAACTTCAAAAGGCAACATATTGTTGAGCAAAAGTCATCAAAGGTTAATATGTCAAGAACAAAAGTCATCTTCATAAACTACAAATTGTCACCAGTATTTGGTGGAGGCGATGAATTGGCTTCAATAACCCGTAGATAGAACCGCCAAGATAAATTCCTATCCGTGATGGGTCTTTGACCAAACGGGTTTTGCTTTACATATTCCTGAACGTTTTCAGCAAGGGCTAACCCTTCCAAATAAACACGTAGATCGCCACCAGGTCCTGCAAATCACAAAATACAACAATCATTCAGCCCTGAACGAGACAACAGAAAACTAGTTTAAGAGATGTGTATGAAAGATTACAACTGTATGATGTTAAACCCGATTCAAATATCCAAATATGTCCTCGCCTTGAATTTTTTTCTCATCTTAACTGAATCATCAGTTACCAAAAGCAATTGAAATATTCATAATGCAGTTGCATGGAAAGCTAAATGTAATACTTGCATGTGCACCTATTTTGTAGCGACAGTTATTAATTCAACATACTCCCTTTGGACACAAAGGATGTCGCATCAAGTAAATATATAGGCTACGTATGCTACTATCTCCTATCTCCCTACACTAAGGAGTGCCTGTAATTCATCACTAATGACAGAAAAAATTTTGCAAAACAAATAGGGAAATATAAAGTACACTTCTATCTCAAACAAATTATTGAACTACTGCATCCACTCTAGTTCACTTATCATGATTTAGTACTGCTTCTTGTTCCTTCTGTAGAAGGCACTATCACATTATCACTTTTTAAATGTATGAAATAAATATTCTTGAATATATCTTAGACAACATTCAAATACATCACAGGCACAGGTCTACCCATAACATCTGTGTGACAACACGATAAACTCGATCATGCAAGTGAAAAGACTAAAGTCAAGAGAGGAACTCAACCAATTCTATTATCACAATCGTGTAGCTTAAGTATGGTCTAGTCGAATGTTAATAATTTATAAACATCAGATATTAATGAGTAATAATAGTAAATAGTCGGGAAAACTGGAAATTGAAAAAATATACACGTGTACATAAGGGAAGGGATAGAGGATATTTTAAATTGAAGAAACCAATTTTTCCTGGAAATTTAGGCCAGGACAATACTGTCAGCTCCAGTAGGGAGCTGAGCTTAGATGTCAGGAACACAATTTTGAAGAGATCTTCAGTAGTTCTCATAACTTACATACTACAGGGCATTGCTATTTGTGCATATACAAAGAAGACAAAAATTGGGAAAGTACGGTACAGATAAATCATGAAACAAAATGAGCAAAATTTGACAGATTTCCCACAAAAAAGAAAAAACACCAGAAATAAATTCGCATACATCTATACTAAAGTAGAAAACAGAAGACAACTGACCTAATGACTTGTCTCTTCTATCTCTGAACCGGTAAGTGTACGGAAAGATTGCTGTATATGGCTAAATATTTATGAAAAAAGAAAAAAAGAAAAAAGAAAAAAAAATTTGTGAAATGGAGAACCTACAAGTAAATAAGGATTGGAATTCAATTTAAATCGTGCAACATATGTGATTGAAATATTTAAAGACTGCACGGAGATAAAACATCAGCTAACCGGGTTGCATATTGCCTTGTAAGGAGAATCATCTAACAAAAGAGTGTTTGACTCATTATATTCTCCCCTCTCCCATGGAAGATCTGGCTCACGCTTTTCCCATAGCTTTTTAAGTTTCTTTAAAAGAAGAGGCTTTTCCCTGTTCTCGACAGTATTGAAATCAGTATAAGTGCAATGGGACTGATCCTGCAAAAATATTGAAATTGCTCAAGGTTAAGAAAGCTATTGCAAAAATATTTAATGAACATATAAACAGTCAAATGTTAAACTCGTGTCACTTGTATAGAATTAACAAGCAAGCAGTTCACATAGAGGAAAAACCTACACTGATACAAATAAACAAATGTGGAGTCACCTTTGGAAAAAATCCTAAGCAATACGATATCAGACTCTCAGTTGGAGCAGAGATCAAGAAAAAAAGCAGAATTCTGACTAAGAAAATTAGAAAGTTACGAGCCTTTTTGACAGTGAAGAGGTCAACAATTTAGCCATATTGTATATACAATTTGTCCTCATTCAATAAAGTATTTATTTTAGTAATTAATGATTTCTAATTATGGTTATTTTCCTCATTATGATTAGAAATTGATTTGCAACTAAAAAACTGATTTGTAAATCACGTGGGTTTCTGTTAAGTTATTAGAACTGATATGAAAATTTTCATCACTTTAGTTTCTCTTACAATTCAGAATTTAATCATTCCTAGAGCAAACCAACATGTTTCGATAACAGTATGTATCCCACTCAATTACATGCACGTAGATGCATTTTTGGGGGGGGAGGGGGGGGGGGGGGGGGGGGGGTTAAAGGTAAAAATGAGATTTGAAATATAGTTTTGGCCCAGCATTGTATAGCATCTATCATTTGTTGCCAGCTTCATCAAGAAAAATTAAATTGCACTCCTAGCCATATTTATCAAATAATACTATGTTCCCTAAGAGCAAAAAATATATGACACCTTAAAATAAAAGATTAATCAACAAATCCAAGAATATTCGCAATTTTGGTATATCTTCCCACAGACAATTCCCAACTCAACATATTTTCATCCAAGCAGATCTGATCACTCGAACAGGTCAATGTGCACGGAGAGACCATTTTTATCTGATCGTTTCTTTTGTTATGCATGTAACAAACATAGAAAATTTAGTAAAGTCTGATGAAAGAAAGATAAAGTAAATGTTAGCGATCATAATCTCTTTATTGTTGGGAATTGATTCCACCAACGGAAATGTGGGATTGAGTGTACAAGATTGATCCCAATCCAATGAAAAGCGGAATCAATTGTAGGGAATGAATTCCAACCCACAATATGTGGGATTGATTCTAATCCCATGAAATGTGGGACTGATTCCAATCTCATCAAATATAGGAATGACCGTTTTCTAAACTAGTAATATTCTTGGGTGAATACAGGTCATTGTCTGGACCAATGTCATACAAAAGTGTGATAAAGCATAAAAAGTCTCTTCAAATGTAATAAAGCATAACAGGTCTCTTCCTTTCTTTAGCGTAGTATGTAAGTGGGCTTGGGTTAAACTTGCAATCACTTCCTTTGAGACGACAAATTGGCAAGAGGTGATCAACAGGGCATCCAAAACCACAAGTTAGACATCACAAATAATATTGATTATGACACTTTGTTATAGGGCTCTTAGTTGGATCTACCAGTCAACCCCATTGTTTGCACCAGTAACCGAAAACTAGGCTGCACAAAGAAACCGTGAAACCGCAAAATCGAACTGAAATCGTTGGTTTGAATTCACTTGGACCCGTGGTTTTTTCCCTCAAACTGAACCAAATTGTTTCAAAATTGTTTTGTTTAGATTTTGGTTTTCAAAAATCGCATAAAATCAAACTGAATCGTTTTAAATTTTCTAATTAAAACATTAATTTTATTCACTTAAAATTTTTATAGTTTTCACTTTTCAGAAAAAAATATCAATTTAGTAATACAAATTACAACCAACATATTGAAATAATCATAAAAAGTAAATTAGGTTCATCATTATTGGCCTATGGATTAATAAGTTCACAACACTGTCCTCACCTGATATCTGAATTAAACTAAAATTATTCCAAAATCATATGAAATGAAAAAAAAAAGCATATATTTTCAACAATCCAAATCATAATTCAACAAAACTACAATAGCAAATCACGTCCGAAGTTTCAAAAGTCCTAACATAAACTCTCATTTCCCTAACATTTGACGCTTATCTGAGACTACTGAACGAATCGCCAATCACCTTTGCCTATTAGTCTGCTAATTTCTACTTGAATCGCCTATTTCTCTCTTCTTTTTTGGTAAGTCTTAGATTTTCATTCAAACCATTTTTTCGTAGTTCTTTTATCTGTTATTTTTGAACTTATTTTACACTTGTGAATTGTGATTTCTATAGAAAAATAATTATTTGTGCGTCTAAATGATTAATGAACTTGTTTATAGTTTGCAAAGAACGAAGGACGGATCGTATTGATTGTGTAAAAATGTTAAAGTTCCCTTACTACTACCTTTTACTTTCATAAAATAGTTAGAGAATGAAATTCGTAAATTTCTAATAAGCCAAAACTCTATCAATCTTTGTACATCTAAATATATCCCGTTCAATCCTTATTTAACATGTCATTAGCAAGAGGAAAGGAGTTTTAACCAAGCTATAATAGCAGAATGTAACTCTACTTTTACCAACCACTATATGACAATACAAATGTCAAACAAAAAAAGGTAAATAAAAATGAAGATCGATGTATTTGTACTATTAACATCTTTTAGCAACTTTGAAAATAATTTATTCATGGGTTTCATGGTAAATATAAATGTAATTTAGCACTTAAAATTATTAGTTCTCATTTAAACTTATATGTTAAATATATTACTATAATGTCAATACGTAAACCGTGGATTAAAACGGAACAAAATAGCAAATTATGGTTTGGTTTGGTTCGAAAAATAAAATGGTCTGATTTGATTTGAAAAAATTTCAAACCGTATAGAATGGTTTAAATTGAAAATATAACACAAACCACGTTCACCCTACCTAAGACAAGGTTGATGTCTTGCTCGCGTTTAGTTAAAAGATGTTTCCATTGTGCTCATATCATTACATCATAAAGGAAGAGCAAAAAGACATATAACTGTACATGGACACATTAAACAAGCATCTTCTCCCACATGATCATCCAAAAGATTATTAATGACATGCTGTGTTCTGAGGAAAATCAACTGAGTGCGAAATAAAATATAACCAAAGCATGCACTGTCAATTGATGGAAAAATCTTAGCTTAACAGGTTGCCACTCAAGCAAATAATTTAGCAATGAAGCAAATACCTTAAGCCTCATCACTTGTAAAATTTAATTGGAAAATGACTTACCCAACAGAAAAGCAACTTGCACTTATCAATCCCCAAAAGAAAATCAAGAACTGACTCCACATTTCTCCTGCAAGAGTTCAATTACTTCACATCAGCCATGAGATTAAATTGTTTCCCGCAAGAAAAAAATAAAATAAGTTAAAATAAAAATAAAATAAAACCTAGGGCCACGATCATACGAATATGAAATAAGATCGATATAAAAGAGAAACTTCATCATGACAAGAAGAGTACTTGTTTCTTGATGACCAGACACCCACGTTAAACCTCTCAAAGCAGAACTTCATAAAATCATCACAATAGGGCCTCTTAAAAACTGATACAGCAATTGAAAACTACGTTAAAATTTCGTGCTCAGTAATCAGTAGCATTAACTTAGAAATGACTTTTAGCCTTCTTACCTGCTTTCTTCGATATTATTGCATCCGGATCATAATCATAAGGTACAACTGAAGAAATATCAACAAGAAGTCCATTTACATCAAGAACGAGAAGTTTCTTCCTGATGCAGTGGGCAGAAGTTTTCTCCAGTGGTATATTAATGTCTTCATTCACAGCTTGGGAATCATCATCTCTCAAAGCACCACAATGCAATAATGAAGGGTCAGTGTCTACTCTTCTAGACTGTTCCTCCTGGTCCGAATGTCGGGAAGGGTTACTTTTAAATGCATTGCCAGAAGTTGCTCTGGGGTTTGATATATCTTCTTCAGCAGACTCCAAGTTACATAGTCCACCATTATTAATAGGTGTAGCCTCATGAACATCTTCGTTCGGGTGATTATTTGGCATATCTGCATCACAACAACTGTATTTATTAGTTTAATTTAAATTATGATACTGAAAATTTTCTCATGATTGAAGCTGTATCTTCAATACACAAACAGCATTTTTTTCTGTTTCTTCATTAACTTGTTTTGGACATCCTTCAGAATCTTGTCCCCCGTAACATGTGTTGCTCTTTGTTCCTAAAGATCCGAGGTAAGCATTCTTCATGGAGGAGTAGTGTATTGTTTTAGAGAAACTTCATTTTCTATGCCTTTAACAAGGCGCCAAGCCTACACTTATTATGAAACAAAAGAAGAATCTTGACCAAGTTTGTTAATCACGAGATCCCAGTTCCCAAGTCATTGCAAAGAACAATATGGTTAGTTACCATCTTCAATACATTTTAATAGAAGAATATGGGTTAGCTAACTTCCTCATAGAAAAGTAGCCCAAAACCAGAAAAATTATCAACCTTCCTACATATCAACTTCCTAGCACCAGTACATAACTCAAATCCTTGTTTAGCTATACCTTTTACTGAATGCCTAACGTGCACAATTAGCCAAGATCATAAATCAACAAACTTTGAATATTAGAATATATTGATAAGAGGAAAATTTGACCTAATACCTATATAACGTTAACCTAAAAACCTACAATAGATTCAACCTAGATTATCATGGTGGTGAACGACGGACAAATGTTCCTGACGAGTAAGTAGGATAGAGGGCAATAGGAAACCCATCTGCTCATATTTCCTCCGTTTTACCACAATTATTTACGTGATCCTACAACATACCAGGGCAAGTTCATCTGCTCAATTTATTCCAACAAAAGAAGCATAAAATATAAACAAAAGCAAAATTAACCTCCATGTCCAAGGATCAATTTTATGAACATAAAAAATTTAAAAAATCTACATTACATAGTCATTCAGTGAAACCAAAAATAGAAAAAAGCAAAAAATTGAAGTACCCGGCATAGGAATAATGCTGCTGGGGCATCGAATTTGAAATCCAATTAAAATTTAATTTACTGATTTATCAGTTCAACTGGGAATCAATTAAGCGTAACTGCACCTAAAACGAGAAAATTTTGCTTGAAATGATGAGACGGCGGCGTAGATTGAGGGTGTACTTTACAAATATTTTATTGCAGAAAGCCCCAATGTATCAAGTTTGAACTCTGAGTAAGCCCGGAGGGATTAGCTGAGGTGTAAAATGGGTAGTGTTGTACAAGTGTAAACCATTTATAGGTCTGACACGGCCTGCAAATTTCAGTTGATTCATGTTTACAAATGTGCATGAGCTGTTGACAAACATTTTTCATTTTTTTAAAGTCGAATTCTTTAGACCGATTAGAAAATAAGAGTGTTAACAAAGGTATGAACGTAATTGACGCATAAGTGTTAACTTATATTTCTAAAATCACATGCTTTTTAATGAAATGTTTGTTAATTTGACAGTATAATTGTTCATGAGCTCAACATGACCTGTTTTTTAGAGTTGACTTAAATTTGGGAGGTTGTGAAAATATGAAATAGGAGTATAGGACCATTTTGGCTTGAGAAAGATGGTCGATCCCCTAGCTGATAATAGAGGTAACTTAAGCCTCAAATGGCCTTTTAAAGTTAAAACCCAAAATCAAAGTTTTGAGTAGTAAGTTTTTTGAAAAATGTGTAATTAAAAAGTAAGGAAAAATTAGAATTTACGTATAAAATATTTTATTATGTGACCATGTTATCAAAAATGGGTATAAAACTTTTGGATAATGATTGTCAAACATGGGCTAATTTAGGAATGCATAATGTGGAAATTACATAATTTCAGGTGTTTAAATATTAGAATTCAAAAATTAAGGGATCAAGTTTCATTATTCAAAAATCAGGTATGAATATAATAAATATTACCTCTAATTCAATTCCAACCCTAATTTTATTCTCTCTCTCTCTCTCTCTCTCTCTCTCTTTCCCGTCTCTTCTTGTCCCTGTGCTACGCCGTCGTCGAAGCACTGTCCACTAGAGACCTTACCCATTTCAGTTCAATTGATGACATCGTGCCGTCGCCACCACGTAAGCTACACCGCCGCGATCTTTACCACGTAGCACGATAGGTTTGTGCGAATCACCATGAGTTGCCATCGGGAAACAAATCCACTCACTTACTCCGACGACTCTTCACAGGCGAAGCACCACAACCAGTGCGCGAAGTAGAAGCAGTGTTGTATAGTGGATTTGGCGGTTGGGGGTAGTTTTGGATGGTGGTTTGTGTGATGGTGTTTGTATGGTAGCGTTTTTGTGGTTATATGGTGGATTTGGTGGTTGGGGTGATTTTGGATGGTGGCTTGTGTGGTGGAGTTTGTGTGGTGTAGTGGTGTTTGTGTGCAGGCAATGGTTGTGGTGTGGTGCGGCGGTTGTGTTGCAATGCGTTGTAGGTAGTGGCTGTGATTATAGTGCAGGCGGCGATTTTTCTGGTGGTGGATGTGCGTGGTTGGCGGTGCTGCACGTGATCTACGAAGAAGTCGTGCGTCCTTCTCTCTATCGACAATGCGAGAAAAAATGTGTGGATTGGTGAGAATGACATTGCAACTGGCGTGACTTGGTGGTGGTATTTTTCATGTTGGTGGTAGTGATGTTGGCGGTTTGGAGTGTTGGTGGTGGTGATGTTGGCCTGTGACTTTAAAATTCGGGTGGTGGTTTTTTTTGGTGTGTTTGGTGGCGACGGTGGATCTGGTTGCATCGATTTTGTTAATGTTGGTGTTGACGGTGGCGGTGGCGACGGGGTGAGGGTGGTTGCAAGTGACGCCGGTGGCAGTGGAGTTGGTGGTGACTGACTATTTGACTGTGACTTTAAAATTCAATTATTTGTGACTAAAAAAAGTAATCTGTGACAATTAAATTTGAAAATATGTGACTTGTGACTATAATTTTTTGGATATGTGACCTATAATTTTTTGATCTGTAACTTTGACATAATCTGTGACTTATCAAAATTGTGATTTTTGACCTTAAAAAAATTTGTAACCAATTAATTTGATAATATGTGACCGATAAATAAAATCTGTGACTATAATTGTGAATATGTGACCATGAATAGTATAACAATGGCTTTATTATCATTATTTAATAAATATTTTTAATTAATTAGCTAAAACCTGATTTTTGCACTAAAGAAACTTGTAACCTGAATTTTGAATTGGACATAATTAACACCTGATTTATGAACTCTTCTCATGCATAATATTGTTATAAAACGATATTTTACATCCAATTGAGCTATATTTAGGTCCAATTGAGCTATATTCAACGCAAAATTGCCTTCACCGCTGTAAAATATTTTAGATAAAGAATCAAATTTCAGTTCTTATGTTTGGTTAAATTTTTATTTTTTTGGAAGCAAATTTTTCAAGTTTTCCTAGAAAGGGAATCCAAGACGTATTTAGATGGTTAAACTAAAAATAATTAAATCGACGTTCGTTGCCTCCAATCTTATCTAACTACCAAAACACAATAATTTTATCAAGACATTTAAGACAAGCCTCCCCGCAAGAAAATGTGCAATTTTTTCGTTGTCATTCCAAATGTATAATGTGTTGTACATAATAATGACGATAATAAAATTATTTTGAAAATATAACGAAAAATTATCAGTGGTCTTAAATCTCATTAAAGGGACGTATTTAATGGTTAAAGATAAACATAATCAAAGCGACTAGGAAAATTAATCGATCCAATCTTATCTAACTCAACCTACCAAAAAACAATGATTTTATCATATCAATGATGAATCCTTAATTGGTAACAAAACACAGAAAATTTGGAGACATCTTACTCAATTCGGTATCTGATTCACAACAATTAGATCTTTAGCAACCACAACATTTCATTCCCGCACGCAGAAAACCGAAGGAAGAAAAATGAAATACATATCAAAAAAAACCTCAGAAGAACTGCATTACATACATAGTTATGATGCCAACTCAAAAAGTTTATTCAACTTACATTCATATAACGATAGTTCCATACTTTACATAGGCAACTGAGATTATTGATAAAGCACTCTGGTGTGTAATTTCCTCTCCACAAATTCATTTTAAACCTCAAGGTAGTGTGTTTGTAAGAGTGCTTACATCTTCAGTCTTTTCCAGCAGAGTCCATGGCTCAAAATGCATTTTTCACACCTTAACATATTTATCCACGTATCCCTGCACACACAAAGAAGATTGGAAAAATAAATCAATTCGTGGAGACTTAAATGAAATAAGCATCACAAATAAACTGCGGAGCATGGGAAATTTCATCTACAAGAGAACTTGGATCATTAACTCACTTTTAAGTAGTTCTAAAAAGTAACTCTTACCTTACTGTCAAAATATACAATTAACTTATTTTGAAATTTAACTTAGTTATTCACTCATAAGTAAACTTTTTACTTAGCCAGACGTGTTCTAAATCTTATTTGTTCAAATTTCTTGCAAAAACAAGACTTAGCAGCTTCTCCAGAAAGGATAATTCAGTATGAGAAGAATAATAGTTTATTTCCTTGAGAAAATAAGCCACAAGTAGTCAAGAGAAACTGTAGAAAGCAATACACCCATGATAAAGTGCAAAACTAGCAATAATTGTTGACAACGATTGTGCTACATGTACATAATAGTTTACATGATTTACATACATATGATGAGATGAGATATGATTAGATCAGAATTTCTTCAAAAAAAAAAAAAAACACCTTTCAAAATTTTTTAAAAAAAAAAAAAAAAAAAAACACCTTTTCCACTTTCTTTTTAACACCTCATTTGTACGTAAATCATTATATTACTCCATTATATACAAATAGCATTATTCTTGTTGACAATATTGATGAGGTACATCAAAAACTTTCACATATCAAAAGAAAAATGCACTAAGATCCTTCTTTAATTCAAAGCAAACGAAAGTTAAAAAATAAGAGTATGTTTGGCTAAGTTTAAAAAGGATTTACTTCAAGTAACTTTAAACTCCAAACATGTTTGAATAACTTACCCTTTTTAGTTAAAATAGGTTTTTTTTTTTTTTTTTTTTAAAGAGTTACTTTCATTAAGCTCAAAATAATTAATTTATTTCTTTGCAACTTTCACAAGAAAAAACATTATTTTTAAACTTACTTATTTAGCCCCTATTTGACAACCACTATTTAAAAACTCTTTTTTTTTTTTCTACATACCCATTTTCCACCACAGATTCACATAATAAAATATTTTGTAAGTAAACCCAAATCTCTTCTGTACTTCTTAACCACACATTCTCCTAAAAATCACTATTTAAAACATTGTTTTTTCCAAATAATGGTTGTCAAACAGTGGCTTACTTATAATTAAACTTTTTAAGCTTAACCAAACAAGCTGTACTGAAAAGAAGGCATACCATCACAAGCTTTGTCAATTTTCCTTGCGACGAGTCAATGTAGTGGTTTATTTTTGCCTGGGACTTTGGTATTCGGTGGCTCTTCATAGCTCCTGACACTTTATCAACTGTTTTCTTGACAATAGTCTTAAACGCCTCCTTGCTCATATTACCCTGGCGCCATGATGGCTTTAAAACCTCCTTCACAAAATTGGCAATGGAAATCTTGAAAAGTTTCATTGATCTTGAATCCTTCCCCTTCTTTTTCCCAGATGTCTTAATCTGATCAATCTCCATTTCTCCAGCAGTCATTTCTGCTGCATCATTTGAATTGCTTGGACTTCCATTTTCAACTGCCCCCACCTCTGCATCTGCTGTCTCCCCGAATTCATCATTTTCTACTGATGCATCAACAGAGACTGCTTCAACCCCTATCTTCTTATTGCTCTCTTCCACATCCAATGCCTTACTAGATCCGCTAAAAGTCGGCAAAATGTTGGAAGCAACAGTTGTTTCATGTTTCTGAAGATGATCAGCTTTTTTTATTGAGTTTGAAGATGGTTCAATGCTGTCAAACAGTGGATCATACTGATCACCACCTGGCCTAGGTAAAATACCTGGAGTTGCCTGGGCAGAAAAAGACTCTGTGGAAAACATATTTCTTGAGCTAAGATTTCCGAATGGCGCGCCATATTGGTCTTGTTCTTGATACAAAAGATTCGAACTGAACTTGGAGCCCAGTGGCTGGTCAAAAGTCGATGTGCATGGGATGAAAGGTCTTGGAATTCTAGATCCTACAAAGTTGGACGCAGAAGAAGGCTGATTCCCCTCAAGAAAATCTGGTGATACTGTTGATGTGGAAGATATAAACTTCCCACCAGGTTCACCAAGCTGTCCAGAGGCACCATCGGCAGCAGGGTATTGCAGTCCATAGGAGCGGTGTTGCAAGAAAGCACGACTATCAGAAGTAAATTTTGGAGGCAGATTTTCACCATGGAAAGCTTGCATTCCCTTTGATGGTGACTGCATTGAGAAGGGAATAGGTTGAGCAAAGGGATTTATGGGATATACACCCTGTACTGGATGTCCAGTAAAGCGATCTTCTCTCATGGCATTGGGACCTCCACGTGCCTGATTCATTAGATTACTTACGTGCAAATTCCTTGATCTGAAGTCATCAGTGTGATGTGACACTTTATCCGGTTCCAGCACTGAAGAGTGTGTCTGATGCTGACCAATCTGAGAACTGGTTAATTCAGTTGGGTAGGGTCTCATAGATGTATGGCCAGAAAAATCATTCCTTTGAGGAAGTAGAGACTGTTGAATTTGATGTGAAGGAGCCCCAACTTCTCCTATTGTTGAATCATTGACAAATGGCATATGTGGGGGCACAAGAAGTGAGCTTGAGGAGGAATTTGATGGTAAAGAGAAATGTAAATGTTGGTGAGGGATGGGAGCTTGATAAGAAGGATAATTATCATGCTTTGAATGAAACTCTGCAATAGGTGGCATCAAGTTGGAATCTCGGGGAATCTGTTGAGCAGATGAGGCACTTGTAACCTGGGAGACTGAGGGCAAGGGAGGTGGTAATTGAGAAGGATGATGAACAGTAGGTGGATACAATTCCTTGCAGTCCAGAGATTGAGATAGAACCTCTTCAGTTGAATATGCTTTAGTCATTGGACTTCCAACAGAGTGTAACTCATTCCTAGAATCCTGTTTGTCAGGTTGTCTTGAACCTGAAGAAGATTCAGAGTTTAAAGTATTGCCCATTTGCTGATGATGTTGATCAGTAGTTTGAAGGCCCTTATCAAGATCGTGTCCCACAGAATGTCGAATCGAAGAATTTTCATTGCCGGAAGGCATGTCACGAGCAGAGTGACCAGATAGATTTTGGGCTGAAGCATCAGTCACTAAATGTGGAGGAGGTACCACATAGTTTATGTCAGTAACATGGTTGGTAGGATCAACTAGCGGTTCTTCTACAACTTCCCCTTCTTGTAAACCAGGCATATCTTGAAAAAGTTTCATCCCTTTACCCTTCATTTCTTTGTGCTCATCGACTGATTTTTCTGAAGAGGTTCTAATCTCTTCAACAAAATCAGAATTCTTTGAAGTAGGCGGATAATCTTGATTCTTCAATTTGCCCCTATTATATCTGAATCTATCGCCCTTGTCAGGCTCGTGGTGTGAATACCGACAGGAAGCTCCACGATAACACTTGCCTCGAAGGAAGTCAAAGCATTCTGGAAATTGACCCTTCTCTCGTCTCGATTTGTATCCGCCAAGATCATTGCCACGTCTTAGACCAGGTGATCTACTCCTACTTCTCCGTCTCTTCGGAGACAAGCTGAAAATGAATCAGCAAAAATTATGAAATTTCCACAATCAAACTTAGATGTTGCATGGAAGTGTAAATTTATAGAAAAATCAGTTACATGTCTAGCTCAAACCTGCGAGATCGGTCGCGCCGCTCAATTCTTCTCCTTGGACTTCTCCTCCTCCTATCATTAGGCGAGTGACTTCTGCTTCGGTTTCTGCCTCTTCTTGAATGTCTCCGAGTATAATGTGGCGAATCACTAGTGTCACTGTCAGTATCCCCTTCTCTGACCAATCTTCCAAACTCATCTACATTCAATTTAGTTGCAACACTCTTTGGATCAGCCTTCTGTGGACTACCTCTCTCAAGACCAGCGTCAATGTTAAAATTGGTCGAAGAATCTTTCGATTGGAGAATCTCGCCAGAATAACCATCCTTAACAGATTTTTGATTTCCATGACTTCTATCGGTAGATCCCTTAGCTTTTCCAGTAGCAAAAGGTGTAGTATCAGCGTCTGGGAGACTATGGGGACTGATCTTAGACCCAAAATTACACCCCTTATCAATATCAGAACTAGTAAATTCAACATTGACAGATGGAGAGGTTGCTACAGGGATAGCATTTCCATTGTGATTTTCGTCCTCATTTTCCGCACTATCATCAGAAGCATAGCCCTGTAAAAGTTTAAAAGGACTGGCACCTCCAGTGATCTGACCTGTAAGCTTCTCAGAACCACCTTCTGCTGAAGCCACTGGGGCAATGGGTTGGCCGAAGTTTGCAGGGGACAAAGAAGATTTCTTTATATTGACATCCAGGGGACATTCAGCATCTCGATCTGGGGACATGCCTGAATCAACAACTCCAGAAGACTTCCTAGTAATGGAGAGATCGTGATCTGATAAGATTCCAGATCCTGCAGATACAAACCCAAGGTTGAAAAGTACTAACTTTGCATCAGGTCCACAGATACCAAAAGCATGTCTGGGAAGTGTTTGTAAATGGTTCAAATTATAAACGGATGGAAATGAGTGGCGGATAAGTGGGGAGTACTAGTGAGCCCCTCGAAATGTATGAATAAAAAATGGCTTGAGTGTTCATAAACAGCTTATGAACATGAGCCAAACATTTAAAAAAATAAGAGCTAGCTGCAGAGCAAGCCCATTGCCAAGGAATCAAAATAAATGCATAACAATCAATAGGTTATCTAGTAAATTACGAGTAAATACCATAACAAGTTGCATTTCTTCTATTTAAATACAGTCAGCTTATTCTAGTATCTATGACTCAAAAGGTTAATCTCTAGAAGATAATAAATGTTAACGGCACCATGTCATCTCTATGTTGTAAAATTAACAGTCCTTTGGAAAAAATCTTTTTTATAGTATGAAACGTCTGGAAGAAAAGAAGAAGAACTACAGGTATCAATAATGCAGTATTTCACATTTATAAGTACATGGATTAATAAGAGAAGTAGATATAGTCAACTTAACTCTACAGAGTCCACCATACTTGGGTTCACTAGACGGACCATCATTTTAAAATCAACTTTATACAGCGCCATCCAAAGTTAAATCAATAAGGCTCAAATATTGTTTATTCTACGCTATGTAAACGTAGGACAACCCATGCCTCTAGAATTAAATGTGTTGAGATGATAAAATAGATAAAGTATAAAAAAAGGTACATTAAACCGAATGCATCTACTTTGTTGAAAATATACTGTTAAGAAAATCAGCAGACGGGTAGAAATCTAACTAGAAGAAACAGAAAAAATATATTCCAAGGACGTGATGATAGCTAGATGTAGGACAGTTAGATCTCAAGTTCAATACATTTACTTGCGAAGTACTCACGATGGGATATCAGGATATGCCAGGTCTGATTACTGGTGCAGTCTGCTAATACAAGCAAAAGAAAATTAAAAAAAAGAGCAACTCAAAATGCTCAGGACATGAGCAGTCAATAGAGCATTTTCGTCTATATTTTTAAAAATGATCTATTATTTAGATTCACTATTAGATATTAAATAGTCAGGTCTCATGTTGTTTCTAAAAGATCCCATTAATAGCATGTTTTACTAAGCTTAAAGGTGCTGAAAAACACCCTTTTTAGACAGCATAACCTCACATACTGTCAAAAAATGTGCTTTTAAGCAATTTTTTTAAGCCTAGCCAAACATGCACTGAGAGTACTTTTGGAATTTGTTGGGTTGGCTTTATAATAAGCTGTCAGAGGGGATTGGTCACTCTTGGCAACTGATTTTCATTATTCGGGATGTAGTCAGATTGAGGGGCGTGAAAAATGTTCAAGTCTTGGCCAAAATACTTGGGACTCTTGGACCTCAAGTTACATCATGCGTAATCTGCAGCTTGTTTGAGTTCGATCCTTTTTCATAGAAGTGCGATGCTTTTTCTGTCTTTTGGTTTAATGTCTAAGAACCTAGGTTAGAGTGTGACTGCCTAGGTTTTTCTCTATGTTTTGATTTTTTTCCATACAATATTTCTGCCAAGAAATTGAGAATGTGACCTCAACACTTAATTAATCCACCAAAGGCCTAAAGTTCCCCTATTCCCATAACCAAGCACAAACCAACAAATAGGGAGGCGAAAAAACTATGCAACACCAGATGTGGTGTGGCCAAATGGCCCTCACTGTGTGTGAGAAGCATGTCACACACACACGTGCCATACACAATCAATCCCACTAGGTCCTTAAGACCAGTTCCAACGTAGGATTCCACATTTTATAGGGTGGCGTGGTGCCCAGATTAGTTTGGAGCTTGTAAAGTGTCAAATACCAAGAGTACTGATGTCCCAAAGGAGAAGAGGGCCGGGCGGGGGGAGGGGGGGGGGGGAATATATATTCCTAGGATTTTGCCAAGTAAAAAGCGTCATCTTTTTAGGATTTTTTAGGGACCCCAAATATAATGTTGTTGTTGTGTGAGTGTGGAAGCAACAAATATAATCAAATTTCCTAACAATTGATTCTGGTTGGGGGGAGAAAGACAAGGGATGTCACAAATACAACAAATTTCATAACAGAAAGCCAAGAACTAAGAAGGCCGTTGCGTAAGTGGAAGAGTCCATGTTCACCAAGGTGGAAGAAAACATCAGGAACAGTTATTTACCGATTTTTTGCTCCTTTGATACTGATGATCCAGAGCAGCATAAGTTTCCATCTGTAGTACTGTATCTATCTCCTCCAGTGTGCTGTGTCAATTGTAATCGCTCTTTTGCATCAACTTCATTAGTTAATGAAGAAGATTCACAATTCAAAATATTCGATGAGTAGTTCTTTAGCTGTTCATCAGGCTGAGTGATATCATCTAGAATTACCACAAAACCAAGTGAGATAGAAGGATCAGCTAAAATCACCCGCACACTGACCAAAATGAGACAACCATATACCAAGACAAAATACTGTTCTGGCTAGAAAAATTTGACAAAGGATTTAGTTGACACAAAATATAGAATTCACACAAAACTACTTAGTTTAAGCAAAAGAGCAGGAATGACGACAACATCACATCTCTACTAGCATAATACCAGAGTCCAGTGACAAATTCTGAGTTATTTAAGTAATTACTTGCAAAATCATATAATGTTAATACTGAAATAGCATCGATAAGGGAAAAAAAAGTATATCCATGTCACAATCTAGAGGCTAGGGCTACAAGATAAATAGGAGGTCAAATTAAAGCTATCTCTTGCAGCAATTGATATGGGTGCAATTCACTGGGTTCAAATAGTAAAATCCAATAGTATTAAGCCACTTAAAATCGTAAATGTTAGGAAGTTAGCCCAATAAAAAATGTCAGATATATCGGAGAGATTTTCAAAGGACAGAATTTTAGTTCTTGATTAGTCAACAGAATACGACCATACCCTTAGAAGCCATAACCGAAAATAGAATTTCAAACAATCATATCATTCTAATATTCATCACCATGGGCCCATTTGAATGACTTTCCTGGGCTAAATCTTGTACTCTGAACGCTGAAATGTAAAATACTGGTCCCAAATAAGCGTAAAAGGAGTGTCATAGAACGAGTATCAAAATTAGATGCATGCATTTCAGGAGCACATTATGACATGTTTTCCAGGAATTATTGGACTAACCTTCCATATCCATATCAGAATCAGATAATGAATAAGCAACAAAAGCATTCATTTTTTCTGCTTCGGGACTATCCTTGTCAATTGGCTGACACAAAACTTCATTCTGTTTAACTTCCACAACCTTCAGTGGACATTCATTGATCAAATTATCCTCATTTTGTAAATCCTCCTTCAAACTGCCACTTCCATCATTCTGCGAAACATTTACAGTGGGTGGCAAAGATGGAGGAAGGGGCGGAACTCCTGGAGGAGAAGTTGGAGGGGGAGGAGGTGGTGGTGGCAACGGCCTCATGGATGGCATGCGAGGATGCTGAGGTAGGGGCAGTGGTGGTGGTGGTGGCAGAGCATATTGAGGTGGAGGTTGATTGTCTGGACCTCTGTCCACCATATGTCCATGCGAAGGAAGTGGTGGAAATGCACCTGGAGCTGGAAGATGTGCCGTTTGATGAGTTTGATGCACATTTTGACTCCACGGAAAGTGTTGCTGGGAAGTTGGATAGGAATGTGACGTCTTGGAGTTTCCATCCCCTGGTGGGGGAGGGGGAAGAGTGAAGTACGATTGACCAGAATTCACTGTATTTAATGGAACAGGCATATGTGGACCTTGATTTGGGGGTCCAGGAGGGGCATGAGGATATGTAGGGAGGTTAGGTAGATGCGGAAAAGGCGTTGTTCCTCGTTGGATTCCCAGAGGTCTGGAAACATGATGGCCTTGCTGGAAAGGAGGAGGAGGAGGAGGCGGAGGAGGAGCAAAGGGGCGTTGTTGAAAATGAGGTGCGGGCAGATAGGCACCCTGCCCAACCTGAGTGTAATTTCCTTGACCATGCATCTTGAACAATCAAATGAAACTAATAGCTCAGAAATACTGTGTTCATAGCGTCCACCGCATCAAACAAATTTGCAGGAGCAGTCCTCTGAAACAAAGACAGGAAGAATGTGTTCATCAATCTAAATTCAATAAAAGGCACCATCAGCTATTAAAGAGAACAAAGAAATTATTAAAATGTGGCAATGAAAGCATCCATAAAGAGAAGAAAAGAAGAACGAGAGAAACATTGAAAATAAACCATCAAATGAAGTAAAATAGTTACTCTTCTAAGAGATCTAAAATCAAGAAAACAGAATGCGAAAGACAACATTTCGAAGTCCAAAATTAGTTCTCGCTACACTTCCAAACACTCAATTCCAAGCTAACAGGCAGTAGAACACTTCGATTTGAACTATCAATCTAGTAAAATGGATTGCGAATAGCACGTCTTTTTTCATTTAAAAGGGAACTGCTCAAGTGGAGGATAGAGAACCGCAAGCACACTTCACACGCAATTGCTCCCTCGAACCAAAAAAAATGAAGAAGAAACATTTTCAACAAGCTTATTAGATAGTAATTCTCCGTTTCCCAGATAGTAACTTTTTCCAGTTCAAACAATTTGCTTCAGCATTCATTATCAAGTATCCAATTTATTAAAATTCGACATTTTCTCAAGAAACAGCATCTCCCGTTCAAACAATACAAAATTACAGAATCATAAGGACGCAGAAGACCCCTTACAGAACGCAAGTACTATATATAAATACAGATGCACGTATAAAAGTCGATTAGATAAAGCTTACTGAAATTAGGAATTGAACGATTCTATCTTCAGATAACTAATTAAAATTCACCCAAGCCGTAACGGAAAATTGGAGAAATTTAAGATCTTCGAGCCTTAGCGAAAGAGATTGACATAACCCTAGCCCGACTGGTTCTTTAAAATGGCTTATTTTCTTTTTCTGTTCTCTGGTTTTTTACGCAGAAAACTACGAAACGATATCGAGCTTCGCCAGAGTGTAGAATTGAGTCCCCACCAATATTTTTTTTATGACAGTTGAGTACTCAATTATTAAAGTTTGGAACAATAAGGCCAGTAAAGAACTAAAGCTCCCAACCTTCCCTTATATTCTAGGGGCGAGTTATAGTACTCGCATGGATGATTGCGAGATTGACACAACACATACATAGGATCGGGATTATTTTATTCATGGGGATCCACGTCGGAGCATGTGAGGGCACAGTCATCTGCGCGGATCGTTTGGAGTCGTTTGGCTTAACTCTTTATTCTATGGGTTTTATGCGCATTCCATCCAACCTTCGAACTGAGTAGCCGGTATAGGTTAAAGATTTTTTGTCATAATTTCTTTTCAACCTCTAATAATTATCATAGTTCACCTCTTTGCATGGTTCTATCAAGAAAATATGCTAAAGGGGTGTTAACTCGACAATTTTGTCTATTATTAAGCACCAATGAAATATCATATTAATTAGTTGCTAAAAAAAAAAAAAATCATTCAAGAATATTTATTTATTTAGTTTTTTATTTTACTTTTATAGTAAAAAAAATATTGTAATATTATCAACTTTAAAATGTATGTATACTTGATAATATATTAACATAAAATTGTTTTATTTTACTATAAATAATCAAATTTAAGAATATGAGATGGCATTTTGAGTTTAATGTTCTAAGTTTAATCTTATTTTTGAAAATACATTTTCAAAAATACTAGACCAAACAAGTTTTTTATTTTTTTTTTTTATTTTGCAAAATTGAAAAATGAAGACAACTTGAAAACAATAAGCCAAACACATCGAGGAAAAAAATACTTTTCGTCTTTGCATTTACTAATTTTAGCGGTTTGAGTCCCATTTTTGGGATAAAATGAATTATGAAATAGTAACTTTTTGGAGAATATGTGGTTAAAAAGTAGGAAATTTTTTTCAAATGCGTATATAATTATTTTATAGAAGAATGTGTGATTGAAAATGAATTTTGAAAAAATACTTTCTTAAAAAAATAGTGCTCAAACAAGGGCTTTAAGAATAGGATGGAAAATAGTGTTTAATGACTTGTTCATGTACAAATTGATAGCCCAAATTCTTCAGCAACTAAACATGTCGATTATGCTGTTATCTCCTCATTTAATTATAATTTCTGTTTATATATATCTATTGATAAATACGGGTTTATTGTGCTTATTCGAACCATTAAACTTAGATATTTGCGAGTTTTATTAGCGATTTATTATTTAATTTTCTTATTTTTATTTTGTAGGTTAAAACTCGAGATTAAACGATGAATTGAAGAAATTTATGCGAGAAACAAGCTAAAGATGATGGCAAACGAAAAAGACAACCAAAGATGTCGCCGAAAGAAGATTTAAAAAAAAAAAATAATAAATAAATTCAGCGAGCTGGGCGCCACGGCACCCAGCCCGAGCAGAAACAGAAACTGTGGCGCCCAGGCACCACCCGGGCCATTTTTCATTGTTTTCAAAATCCCAGAGACCAATGCTGCAATTTCCTTTAGGTTTTAGTTTAAGAGCCTGTTTGGGAGTGATTTTGAGAATTGATTTTTTGACCGTTAGGAGAAAAGTGGGGTCCACCTGTGAGAAAAGAAGTCAAATATGACGGCTGAAATAGTGAAATAACGATCAAAAAATCAATTTTTTGGAGGAAAAAATCGCTTCCAAACATGCCCTAAAACATTCAACCAAATACAAGACTTCTTCATTCTTGGAACAAAGAGGGGGCAGCTGATTCTTCTTCTTCTTCTTCTTCTTGTCTATTGTTTTCTTTCTTTTTTCATTTTCCTTTCACCTTTATTTTCTAAGATATTTTGGGGAAGATTGGAACATGGAGATAGTGCATTAGCTTGGAGAAGATGACCCATTGATATTGAAGGATTTTCAATTATTTATCTCTTTATCAATAAGTTTTTCTTTTCACTTTTTTCATCAATATTTTGTAAGAAATTGTTAGCTATTTGTGGATATTTCATGGGTAACTAATTATATTTTGCGATTGGGGATTGTTTCAAACCCGAGTTATGATTTTCAATTAATTTGTGCTTTATAATTCTCTTGATTAATGTGTTTAATCTATTGTGTTAAATGTTTATTTTGTTTTTCTTGATTGTTTATACGTACAACTAAATGGTTAAGTTATTTCGATAATGCTATTTTAGGATTAGTAGTACGTAATAGCTATTGATTCTAAAACCTACTAGCAATTACATTTCGATAGATTATGAAGAATTTTCAATTGAATGTATGTAGATTAACACTTAAGTTTGTTAATCGAGCTTGCGAGTTTACCCTTAATTCAATTCATCTCTTTTGTCGTAATGCTTTTGTTAAATTAAATCTAGAGAACTTGTTCTAGGTTGTTTAATGACTAGGTTTGAGTAAAGAGTTTGTTTTATTCGACTAACATGTAAGAAAAGATTGAGATAATTGAGCTTGTAATTGTTCTCGAATTGTTGTTAATCTTGAGAACGAAAATCTATTGTTGTAGTTGATATGAAAATCATTCTCGTGGTGATGAAATATTCCCCAGTCATATTTTCTCGCATTCAATCAAGAATCACTTTGTTTATTTCAGATTTCAAGTCTTTTCTAATTTAAATTTATCGTTTTCCTTAGTTCAACAAATCGAACCCCCCCCATTTAATCTATTTCGTCTATTATTATTAATTTTACTTTTTAGTGCACAATTGATATAATTGAATCAATTTTTTGTGGGAAATGCCCTTACTTGCCATATTACTATTTAAAACGACACATTTAAGTTAAGTAAGGAAAATTAATTGGAACGTAATATGCAACGTATCATCTATATAGTTGATTTATTTAACAAGTGGCAAAATTGTATGCTATACTTATTGTAGTGAATGGAGATGAGCGGATTTTTAGTATTTTAAGGTTTGGGTTCCTCTGTTTTGTAGGTTGGTAACGAACTTAAATGACAATGCTATTAGAAATTTTTCAATTACTCTACCAATGAAAGGATAAGTTTAGGGATGGTTGAACCTGTGAAAGAAATTATTTAAAATTGTATTAATTCCCGACTCATTGATTGATTTTGTGGAATGTTCTTAGACTTCAAATGAAAGTTAGATGTTATTTTTCATCTATTGATTTTCAATTAAAAAAGAACCTGTAGGAAAAAGTTGTCTACCCTAAGGAATGTGAGTCAGCATTGAGTAATATGGCCATATGCATCACCAATGTGTAGGAGACGATCTACGAATGAAAAAGGCTACCCTTAGGGACCAGAGCGAGAACTACCTACATTGAAAAAATGAAGAAAAATAAAAGGGATGCTATCAGCATCTAAGGGTGATTTTGTTGAAAAATTGATGGATTGTGAGTAATTTGCCTAACATAAGTTTGTGGCTCAAAATTTTTGGTGAATTAATACATGACTAGATGATCTATTTTTTTGGTTCAACCCAACCAAATTTGAGATGGAAAGATTGAGTGATTTGAGGGCAACCTTAAGTTTTTGATACTTAGGTTAGAGTGAGAATATCAAGTTTTGGGGAGTGTGCATCCCACGAGTGAGAAAGGAAAGTTTGACCATTGAGGGTTGGGAAAATCACCAATTTGTGCATTGCGATGAATTGGAATGACCACACACACACACACGAGTCAAGCATGGTGTAAGTTTAAAAGTGTTTGTTGTAGCATTTTTGTAAATATTTCATAAGTTATTTGCATAATGTAAGAATTGAAGCAAAATGGCAAAATATCGAACAATTGGAGTGTTTGTTATTATTATAGTATTATCGTTTGGTTTTAATTTGTATGTTTGTATGCTTGTTTGTATTACTATATTCGAGGACTAACAAAGATTTAAGTTTGGGAGTATGATAAATGCGTGTTTATTGCACTTATTCGAACCATTAAATTCAGATATTTGCGAGTTTTATTAGCGATTTATTCCTTAATTTTCTTATTTTTATTTTGTAGGTTAAAACTCGAAATTAAACGATGAATTGAAGGAATTTATGCAAGAAACAAGCTAAAGATGATGGCAAACGAAGAAGATGATCAAAGATGCCACCGAAAGAAGATTTGAAAATAAATAAATAAATAAAAAATTCAGCGAACTGGGCGCCAGCCCGAGCAGAAACAGAAACTGTGGCGCCCAGGTGCCACTGTACTGGCGCCTAGGCGCCAAGCCGTTTTTCATTGTTTTCAAAATCTCAGGGACCAATGCTGCAATTTCCTTTAGGTTTTGGTTTAAAACATTCAACCAAACACAAGACATCTTCATTCTTGGAACAAAGAGGGGGCAACTGATTCTTCTTCTTCTTCTTATCTATTGTTTTCTTTCTTTTTTCCTTTTCCTTTCACCTTTTTTTTTAAGATATTTTGGGGAAGATTGGAACATGAAGATGGTGTATTAGTTTGGAGAAGATGACCCACTGATATTGAAAGATTTCCAACAATTTCTTTCTTTATCAATAAGTTTTTCTTTTCACTTTTTCCATCAATGTTTTATAAGAAATTGTTAGTTATTTGTGGATATTTCATGGGTAACTAATTATATTTTGTGATTGGGGATTATTTCAAACCCGAGTTATGATTTTCAATTAATTTATGCTTTATAATTCTCTTGATTAATGTATTTAATCCATTGTGTTAAATTTTTATTTTGTTCTTCTTGATTGTTTTGGTGTACAACTAAATGGTTAAGTTGTTTCGATAATGCTATTTTGGGATTAGTACTACGTAATAACTATTGATTCTAAAATCTAGTAGCAATTACTCAATAGATAATGAAGAATTTTCAATTGAATGTATGTGGATTAACACTTAAGTTTGAAAACCGAGCTTGCGAGTTTACCCTTAATTCAATTCATCTCCTTTGTCGTAATGCGTTTGTTAAATTAAATCTAGAAAGCTCGTTCTAGGTTGTTTAATGAATAGGGTTGAGTAAAAAGCTTGTTTTATTCGATTAACATGTAAGAAAAGATTGAGGTAATTGAGCTTGTAATTATTCTCGAATTGT